GCGCTGACCCTTGGGCGCACCCCCACTAGGTGCTGGTGTTGGGAGAACCCATTGGCTAGATGGCGTCGCCCGCCGCCGTCTCCGGGTCAGCGGTGGGCTCCGAGGGAGGGGAGGGGCAGGGAGTGCAGCGAGAAAGGTGTACAGGTCTCCATGCCGCGCAGCGACTGCAGATTTTTCTGGAAGTTTGGGGAACCACTTGTACCACATTAGCGGATTCCAAAGGAACGCTTAGGTGGGAAGGTGGAAAAACAGGAATTTGAAGGCAAGGAATTGATCCCTTTCTGTGAGGCTATGAGGAAATACTTTGTGATTCGCTGTCTTTGAGACATTGTGTATATCCCGACAATTGGACGGCTGCTAATGATTTGGTAATTAGAAAACTTTACTTTTTCTTCCTAGCTGAATAGATTGCCTTTTTTCCCAATCATTTTTTTAGGGGCTCATACAACTCTTGTCACACTCCATACATCAATTGTGTACATTCATTGCCCTCATCATTGTTTATTTGTTTATGTTTATTTGCTCTCCACGTAAGCCCCTGGCATCAGCTCCTCATTTTTCCCCTCCCTCCCTAGATTGCCTTTTTTTTGTAGTTTTTTTTCCCCCTCTGGCGATTGGACAAGTTGATCCTGCAGACTGCAGTGAGGAGCAAGTTGGGCAGTTTACCTGTCGTGTAGCTTTTTAATGGGAAAACCAACAGAGCACCGAGATTGTAGGGAATGGTATCAGATTTCAGGTGTTTTGAGTTCTTTGGTAATGAAGCTGGTCTTAGAATGAACTAAAACCAGAGGTGAGATGGATTTCTCTCAGGAGAGCCCGGCACACTTAAATCGTGATTTGCAGATGGAATTGTGTGCCTGTTTGAAATAGCTTTCTTTGGCGGTAGTCTTGCTCTCCCAAATGCTTCTCTATAAAATGAATTTGATTAGACTTAATGTGATGGATGTAGGGTTATTTCCACCTTTGATTTGAGTGGGAATCCCAGCTGTTCCGCCAATTTTAAAGAATTAAGGAGTCAAGGAAAAACATCTTAAACTCAGCCTTGTTTCCTAAAGAAAGGAGAAAATTTTCTTTCTATGGTTCAGAATACTACTTTCTGAAATGATGTGCTGCTTTGTTTGAAAGCTGTTAGCTACATCTTGCATTACTGGTGAGAATTTGAGCTCTGTAAAAGGGGAGGTGTGATACACGCTTCTTTCAGAATTCAGGGCTGTCAGTATTGCAGTACCTTGTGGTCGAATACCAGCAATCACTTTGTGGTGTCAGCCTCTCATTTTCCCTTTGGGGATCATTTTCATGGATAACTTCAAGTTTTGGTATAACAATTTCTATCACTAGTGGCCCAGTGAGGGAAGAGTTGTCTTGGGAAATAGTTTGACCTGGTGATTGAGAGTGAATAAAGCATGCTTGACAGTTTGCATATGATTCGCAGCAGATGCTTAGGCTCAGTGCATTAGCTTCTCAAGATCACACATATTCTCAGCAAAAATACTGCAATTTCAGTTAAAATCTGTACAAAGGTGCCTTTGGAGATTGACGAGTAGCGCAGCTATACAGTTATCTACAGAAATGAATCCTGGATGAATGGGAGTTAAAATGCTTTATCTTTGTAGAGGTGGCTTATGGCTATGGATCCAAAATTTGATTCTTTTGATTAGACAAGGAGTGAGAACAGATTGAATTTGATAACTTTCTCTCCAGTTTAGTATTGTAATGGAATCAAAGTAAAACTTTCATACTGCTCAGTATAAAAATGTTCCCACAAATCAGGAGCCAGTGGTGGTACAAATGTTTAAGTGCTTTGAGTACCAGCTGATAGGTTGGTAGTATAAACCCAGGGACACCCGGGAAGATAGTCCGGCTGACCTGCTTCCAAAAGGTCACAGCCTTGCAGACCCTCTGGGGTAGTTCAGTTCTATACCTGAAGTTGACCTCAGTCAGAATTGACTCAGCTAACAAAAATAATGCCACAGTGAACGCTCTCCTTTATACTTTTGACATGTTAAATATAATACATCTCTCACCACTTTAAAATGAGCTGGGGTAGCTCTATGAGTTAGGCATTGGACTGCTACCACCCCAGTTGCTTTGTGGGAGAAAGCCAAGGCTTTCTACCCTTTTTATTATTTTTTTTTCTCTTAACATTCTCATCAACATTTGGTGGTAACAGTGGTGTTTTTTGCTTGTTTTTTTTAATC